GCTGTGGCTAAAACTTCCAAAACTATGTTGAATAATAGTGGTGAGAGTGGGCAACCTTGTCTTCTTCCTGATCTTAGTGGAAATGGTTTCAGTTTCTCACCATTGAGAATGATGTTGGCTGTGGGTTTGTCATATATGGACTTTATTATGTTGAGTAGATTCGTTCTATGCTTACTTTCTGGAGAGTTTTTATCATAAATAGGTGTTGAATTTTGTCAAAAGATATTTCTGCATCTATTGAGATGATCATATGGTTTTTCTACTTCAATTTGTTAATAATCAATCACATTGATTGATTTACGTATATTGAATAATACTTGCATTCCTGGGATAAACCCCACTTGATCATGGTGTTTGATATTTTTTATTGTGTGGCTGGATTCTGTTTGCTATTATTTTGTTGAGGATTTTTGCATTTATGTTCATCAGTGATATTGGCCATAGTTTTCTTTTTTTGTCATATCTTTGTTTGGTTTTGGTATCAGGGTGATTTTGGCCTCATAGAATGAGTTTGGGAGTGTTCCTCCCTCTGTTATATTTTGGAAGACATTGAGAAGGATAGGTGTTAGCTCTTCTCTAAATGTTTGATAGAATTTGTCTGTGAATCCATCTGTACCTGGGCCTTTGTTTACTGGAAGATTTTTTTTTTTTTTTTGGTGGTACGCGGGCCTCTCGCTGTTGTGGCCTCTCCCACTGAGGAGCACAGGCTCTGGACATGCAGGCTCAGTGGCCATGGCTCATGGGCCCAGCCGCTCCACAGCATGTGGGATCATCCCGGACCGGGCACGAACCCGTGCTCCCTGCATCGGCAGGCGGACTCTCAACCACTGCGCCACCAGGGAAGCCCTGTTTACTGGAAGATTTTTAATTTCAGTTTCAATTTCAGTGCTTGTGATTGATCTGCTTATATTTTCTCTTCCTTCCTGTTCAGTCTGTGAAGTTTATACCTTTCTAAGAATTTGTCCATTTCTTCCAGGTTGTCCATTTTATTGGCTTGTAGTAATATTGCTTGTAGTAATCTCTCATGATCCCTTGTATTTCTGCTGTGTCAGTTTTTACTTCTCCTTTTTCATTTCTAATTCTGTTGATTTCAATCTTCTCCCTTTTTTTCTTGATGAGTTTGGCCAATGGCCTATCAATTTTGTTTATCTCCTCAAAGAACCAACTTTTAGTTTTACTGATCTTTACTATCATTTCCTTCATTTCTTTTTCATTTATTTCTGATCTGGTCTTTATGATTTCTTTCCTTCTGCTCACTTTGGGTTTTATTTTTCTTATTTCTCTAGTTGCTTTAAGTGTAAGTTTAGGCTGTTGATTTGAGATTTTTCTTGCTCCTGGAGGTAGGATTGTATTGGTATAAACTTCCCTCTTAGAACTGCTTTTGCTGAATCCCATTGACTTTGGCTTGTCGTGTTTTCAGTGCCATTTGTTTCTAGGTATTTTTTGATTTCCTCTTTGATTTCTTCAGTAATCTCTTGGTTATTTAGTAGCTTATTATTTAACCTCCATGTGTTTATATTTTTTACAGTTTTTTTTTCTGTAATTGATATCTAGTCTCATAGCATTGTGGTCATAAAAGATACTTGATACGATTTCAATTTTCTTAAATTTACCAAGGCTTGATTTGTGACCCAAGTTATGATCTACCCTGGAGAATGTGCCATGAGCACATCAGAATAAAATGTATTCCATTGTTTCTTGATGGAATGCCCTATAAATACCAATTAAGTCCATCTCGTTTAATGTGTCATTTAAAGCTTGTGCTTCCTTATTTAATTTTATTTTAATTGATCTGTCCATTGGTGACAGTGGGGTGTTAAAAGCCCTACTATTATTTTGCTACTGTCGATTTCCCCTTTTATGGCTCTTAGCATTTGCCTTATGCATTGAAGTGCTCCTATGTTGGGTGCATAAATATATACAATTGTTATATATTTTTCTTGGATTGATCCCTTGATCATTATGTAGTGTCCTTCTTTGTCTCTTGTTATAGTCTTTATTTTAAAGTCTATTTTGTCTGATATGAGAATTGCTACACCATCTTTCTTTTGATTTCCATTTTCATGGAATATCTTTTTCCATCCCCTCACTTTCAGTCTGTATGTGTCCTTAGGTCTGAAGTGGGTCTCTTGTAGACAGCATATATACATGTCTTGTTTTTGTATCCATTCAGACAGTCTGTGTCTTTTGGTGGGAGCATTTAATCCATTTACATTTAAGGTAATTATTGATATGTATGTTCCTATTCCCATTTTCTTAATTGTTTTGGGTTTGTTATTGTAGGTCTTTTCCTTCTCTTGTGTTTCTTGCCTAGATAAGTTCCTTTAGCATTTGTTGTAAAGCTGGTTTTATGGTGCTGAACTCTCTCAGCTTTTGCTTGTCTATAAAGGTTTTAATTTCTCCATCAAATCTGAATGAGATCTTTGCTGTTACAGTAACCTTGGTTGTGGTTTTTCTCCTTCATCACTTTAAATATGTCCTGCCACTCTCTTCTGGATTGCTAAGTTTCTGCTGAAAGATCAGCTGTTAACCTTATGGCATTCACTTCTGTGTTATTTATTGTTTTTCCCTTGTTGCTTTTAATATGTTTTCTTTTTATTTAATTTTAGATAGTTTGATTAATATGTGTCTTGGCATGTTTCTCCTTGGATTTATCCTGTAAGGGACTCTCTGTGCTTCCTGGACTTGACTAACTATTTCCTTTCCCATATTAGGGAACTTTTCAACTATAATCTCTTCAAAAATTTTCTTAGTCCCTTTCTGTTTCTCTTCTTCTTCTGGGACCCCTATAATACGAATGTTGTGGCACTTAATGTTGTCCCTGAGGTCTCTGATACTGTCCTCAATTTTTTTCATTCATTTTACTTTATTCTTCTCTGTGGTAGTTATTTCCACTATTTTATCTTCCAAGTCACTTATCCGTTCTTCTGCTTTATTTATCCTGCTATTGATTCCTTCTAGAGGATTTTTCATTTCATTTATTTTGTTGTTCGTCATTGTTTGCTTGCTCTTTAGTTCTTCTAGGTCCTTGTTAAACGTTTCTTGTGTTTTCTCCATTCTATTTCCAAGATTTTGGATCATCTTTACTATCATTGCTCTGAATTATTTTTCAGGTAGATTTCCTATTTCCTCTCCATTTGTTTGGTCTGGTGGGTTTTTACCTTGCTCTTTCATCTGCTGCGTATTTCTCTTCTCATTTTGCTTAACTTATTGTGTATTCCTTTGTGCAGACTGCAGGTTTGTAGTTCCTGTTGTTTTTTTGTCTGCCCCCAGTGGGTAAGGTTAGTTCAGTGGGTTGTCTAGGCTTCCCATTGGAGGGGACTGGTGCCTGTGTTTTGGTGGATGAGGCTGCATCTTGTCTGTCTGGTGGGCAGGACTATGTCTGGTGGTGTGTTTTGGGGTGTCTGTGAACTTCTTATGATTTTAGGCAGTCTCTCTGCTAATGTATGTGTTTGTGTTCCTTGCTGGTTGTTTGTCATGGGGTGTCCAGCACTGCAGCTTGCTGGTCATTGAGTGGAGTTGTTTCTTAGTGTTGAGACGGAGATCTTTGGGGAACTCTCAGTGATTGATATTACATATGGTCAGGATGTCTCTGCTGGTCCCACGTCCTGAACTTGCCTCTCCCACCTCAGAGGCTCAGGCCTGACATCCTGCTGGAGCACCAAGTCCCTGTCAGCCACACGGCCAGGTACGTGGGGATTTCCTTGCCTTTTGGGAAGTCTGAGATCTGTCAGTGTTCAGTAGGTGTTCTGTAGGAGTTGTTCCACATATAGATATATTTTTGATGTATTTGTGGGGAGTTGACCTCCATATTTGAGTCCTCCGCCATCTTGAAGGTCCTCTCTTGAGCCACATTTTGATCTGGAATGTATCTCTTGCCTACATCTCCTCCCTTGGCATTGTCTTTTCAGAATGTGAGAAAATCCTTTCTGTCCAACAGTACCATACATGACCTAACCATGGTGCAAGATAGCAGCAGAGCTGAACAAGGCCAACGAGAGGGAAGGAAGATGGTGCTTTAGGTTTGGCACTTATTCATATAAGTATTGTCCCCATTTTATCCCTGAGGAATGGGAGCCACAGATTCATCAATTAATTCACCTGGTGTCCACAGGATTTGAACTCAGAACTGTATACTTTGAAGCACATACTCTTTCTTTTACAACAAAGTGTAAAAGGAAGTAAAAGAATAGAACTGGGAGACAAGAACGAGGATTCAAGGAAGACTCTACTGCAGGGAAAAAAAAAAAGAAACCCCATAATAACCTAACTCTGCCAAACAAAAATTTTATGACTGATATTGTATTGGCCAACATGTTTTAACATACTTTTCTAATATGAAGTTTTTAAATAATAAGTATTTTTAAATTTGCAGTACTTATTACTTTTAAGCAAAAATACTGAGTTCCAAAATTTGAAAATTATAAATAGTAGTGTTCCCATATTAAGAAAAATGGTACTTGAAGATCTGTGGTTGCAAAAAGAGCCATGTAAGAAATTATTAGTTGTGTCCCTCTCTTGGTACTTGATCACATGCTAACAAGTATTGGTTTACACTTTGTCTTGAGAAATATTAGGTTATTTGGAAGAAACGTCATGTCTCTTTCTTTTTGGTTGAATTATAATCCCATTATACATGTGGTATTTCTGCACAAATATGACATTGGATATACACTGGTAGAATTTAATAAAAAAGTTTCCCTCAAGGTTCTAGTTACTGAGTTATAGGTAAACATGTTTTGTGAATTCAACATTAACCAATGTGGAAAGTTTTCTAGCATAAATCACTTTTTCCTCAAGAAAACCATAGGCCATCATTAAAACATCTCTGCTATTATTATTTTTGAAAAGGCATATGGTTATGTTTTTTAAATGTTATCTAATTATATATGTTGACATTTTTAAAGGTGAAATGATTTGATATCTAGCATTTTCTTCAATATAATGTGGGAGCATTGAGAAAATATGATAGGCCTCTAGTTTATAGCTGATAAACTGAGTGATAAACAAATGCAGGTTTATTATTTCATTCTCTCTACTTTTATAGACATTTAAACATTTTTATAATAAAAAGTTACAGCACCAGAAGTAATACTGAGACCATTTTTACTGCTTACACTATATAGTAAAAAATTTATCACCATGTTTGGGGACAAGCTTTTTCTCCAAGGAAATATTAAATATATTTTTTAGATTTTCTTTAACTTCTTCTTCATTCAGTGTGTTAAACTCTACCAAATCTGTATTGTCCTTATAATTGAATCTCCTGTAGGTGAGGGTGAAGCCCACTAAACAGTGAACACCTTCTGGGGTCTGCAAGGAACAAAATGACTTGCTTGTAAAGACAGATGCTGGAGATTCCTGAAGGTATATATTCACAGACTCAAAGTCTTCAATTGTTCGAGGTTCAAGAGTAAAAGAGTAGATTTTCCGATATTTATTCTTTTCCAGGAGCTCAGAATTAAGAAATTCTTGGTTTGGGATATACTGCTCTCTTCTGATTTGGTCTAGGTACCAGATTCCTCTCTCTTCTGTCAAGCAGAAGGTGCAAGGCACCTGGGGCTGATCCTTCCCAGAAATTAACTCTAGAGGCTGCCACATCTGGTAAGAGCGTCCAAATCCAGCATCAGCTAGGTAGTTCCTGCCATCAATGGTCACCTTCAGCAGGAGGTGAATCATGGCATTGCTGTATTTGTTTGCTGAAGTGTTGTATACATACCCTCCCAGTATAGTGGTCTCAAAACCAATTGTGGTCAGAGCCCAGTACAGAAGATGATTGACTTGGAGACACCACCCACCTCGGTTCCTCCTCACAATTTGATCAAAAGTGGCCTCTAAGCCCAATTCCATGGCTTCCCCACAATGGATGTTAAGATTCTCAAAGGGAATGGCTCGGATCTGGTGCTGAAGAATGTCAGTTAATGTTTCCAAGTCCAACTTGTTCCTATAGTGCTTATAACCAATTCTTTCAAAATATGCTTCAATGTTCATGATTCCTTAAGGCAAGGAAAACAAAACAAAAATATTACTTTTGTACTTGAATTTCTTTGATTAGCCTAATGATAACAAATGTATTTTAAACATGTAAACACAAACAATGGTTATAAATAACTGTAATTATAAGCCTTTTTTTGTGTGTGTTTTTAGTGTATTAGTAGCTTTCACATGCATAAGTTCAGTTAATGGTGCGAGTAACCCTGAAAGAAAAGTATTATCACTTCTTCCATGTTTTGAGCATGAGAAGTTGGAAATCCAGATGAAGTGATGAGTAAAATGATAAAAAGCTTACATGTGGTTTTTTTGGTGATGAATAAGGAGAGGTACAAGTTGCTATCAATTAAAATAGAGTTTACAAACAGTTTCTAATACAAACAGGAGAATTATAATATAGTACTTTCATTCATGGTACTTGACCAACTCAATATCTTCTTCAGCTGAACCTTACACAAATTTCCCCACTCAAAGATTCATATTCATTCACAAACTGATTTATTGATTTATTCAATAAATAGTTTACTGAAAATCTATTATGTATATGTTACTGACCTAGTGGTTGCTAATCTTAAAGAATCTTACAATTTAGTGGGGTCTGGTATGACACAGTGAATTAAATGAATTTAAAAAACATGCAATTTCTTAGATAGTGATAAGTATCCTGGGAAAAATAAAGCAAAGAAGGTAGATAAGATGTGCACAGAGAGAGCTTCAGTTTCCAATAAGGTGGGAAGAGGAAGCTTCACTATGACTTTAAGGATGTGAGAGAATGAGCCATGTCCACAAATGTGAGACGACAATTTAGGAAGAAGGACCAGAGGGTTAAAAAAAAAAAAAGCCCTAAACTGGAACCTGCCTAGAGTTTCCAAAGAACATTCAAGGAAGACAAGATGAAGGGAGCAGAGGGAGTAAGTGGAAGCATGGATTGAGATGAGATCTGACCTTTTGTCTTTTACTCAGAGATGAGTAATCACTGTAAGAAGGGCAGTAGGGGAAGGCTGAAGTTTGGGCAAAATGCACCATCATCAAATTGTTATGTCTGGCTTGTATGGAGAGTGAGCTGTACATACTGAGCTGAATGAATAGACATATGACCAAGGTAGGCGCAATTCAAAGCACATTTTCTCTAGGACCAGTGTTTTGCGCGTGGATGGCATGTGGTCCAAGTCAGTTCAATGATACTCTGTTGAGGAACTTTTGCTGAAACCTAAGCAGATGCTTCTACTGCAGGGCCAGAACCTGGTAGGATATTTGCTCAAATCTACTAGGAGAACTTGCTGAAGAATAATATCAACAAAGAATTTATTGAGTTGAAGAATGAAAAGCAGGAAAAGGAAAGATGAGAAAAGACAACAATCAAGTTTTAAGCTATATCTTGACTTTATTGTAAGGTGAACCAGAAGAAAAAAAAAAGAAGTCCTTATTTTGTAAAATCTCATATAGGAAATGTTTCTGTCCCCTGATACCAGAGTCATAATCCAGTGTGAACACTGATTGTAACAGTGGTGCATTACTATTGATAAGATGACATGGCCTGAGGTGAGAGGTTACAAAAGGCCCTGCCCCTAGGTTAATGGTGATAAGTTATGTATTCCTGTTGTCCTTCTTAATGTCATTTCTTTCAGATTCACCTAATTCTCTTTTTTGATCAGTTATTCTTCCCATTTTGCTAGTGTTTCAACTTTTTCTATTCTTGATGTCTGCAATCTGATATCCTCCAAATCTCTTAAGCTTATTTCATTTCTTCTCATCTTTACATGCATCAGCACAAGCCAAAAACTCTACGACTCAGACACCAAGAGAACAACTGGTACTTAGCCAGACCACCACAGACCCTCTTCTGCTTCTGTATCCAGAATCAGTGCTGGGTAAGTAAGGAGGGCAGGTGATGTGGAACAAAAGCAATATGATTTGTAACTGCCTGGCCATTTCATTTCTGGGTTAACCAACATCTTTTTATTTGGATATTAATGTATATTTTTTAAAGCTATCTTTTGATTTTAAAGATTTTTCTTTGTTCCTCTGGAGGGGATATGGGGATATATGTGTACATATAGTTGATTCACTTTGTTATACAGCAGAAACTAACACAACAATGTAAAGCAATTATACTCCAATAAAGATGTTAAAAAAATATTATGTTACTTTAGAATTTAGTAACTTCAAGTTCATTGAGAAGAAGCCAGGGTCTGGATGCAAGCAACATGTTATAACCAAATTATATCTGCATATTCTGTGACTAAATATAAGAGATTTTGTACTACTGAAGTTATGATAGAAGGTGAAATATGGAGGCACTAGAAAGTAGTTGTCAGGATAAAACTGGGTGAAAACACTGCAAAGTTTATATATTGACTTGTAATTTAGATGTGCACTGATATACCATTTCATTTTCCTTGATCATAAATATAAGAAAAGAATAAAAGGAGAGAGAGTGAACACACTTAGGGATCCAGCTGAGATGTCTCAGAAAAGCATACCTTTCTGAGGAAGTTCAATGTAGACTGAGTCTCAGTTTTAATTCAGAAGACTTAGGATAGTTCTTCTTCCTAGTTCACTCTGTAGAAATAAAAGAAAAAAGTTTTAAATATATCATATTCTTTCTTGAAAACAAGGACAGTAGTTCTCATTGGGACATGAATATGAAGAGTATTTTAAAATCACAACACAGGAGTAAAATGGCCATTTGGGTTGCACAGAGAAGAGAAGTGAATGTACAGTGATGGGAGATGGGAGCAAAACGGATGGGTTCTAAGCCTGGAGACTGTGGAAGTCACCAGCAGGGGGCTCAGACACAACAGACCAGATGAATATTTGTCATACAATCAGCAAGGAGGGGTGAACCCTGTCTCAGGCCCCTGATTGCTACTACAAGATTTACCAAACACAGAAAAGACAAGTATGTAATGGTAGCCCCTGTCTTCCTTTAGGTGTAAAGTATAATTGGGGATGTTGGAGCAGAAAAATAAGGCAATATTCTTAGTGTATGGTGTCACCAGAAAGGACGAAGAACCATCCATACAGAAGACCAGCCATCAAAATATCTCGTCTTCAGTCATCTTCCCTCATCTCCACTGGAAAGATTGCAGAGTCCAAGGTCCACTCCAGCCAGACATCTCACCAGTCACATTTCATTCAAGAAACAAATAAAAGATGGAGACAGAACTATACATGCATGAATATGATGAAAAAACAGAATGCAAATACACTATGAGATGGAGATCAGAAAAAAAGGACATAATACACAAAATATAGGGGGAAATGACAACCAGCTCAAGAAGAAACATAAACTGAACAATGGAAAGATATTCTTCACAGGTACTTGAAGAGATAGAACATTTAAAATGGACTCATACCAAAAAGCCAAAAAAATGAGGTGATAAAATAACACAGCATTATCAAAAGAACTATTTATAACTTAGGAAACTAATTAAGAATAACAACAATGATAATATATGAGTAATTATGAACAATAGGGGAATATATACATATAGCATAATATCAAATGACTTATGTAGAAGGAAAACTTAATACTCAATGGTTTCAATGAAGAGATAAAGCCATTAAGGAGTTAAAGAGAAGTTAATAGACATAAAACCAGTCAAAGACAATCCAATATAAAGATAATTGGTATTTCTGAAGGAAAAGATAAAACTCAAAAAGGATAATAGAAAAAAAAAATATATATGTATATATTCTAATAGTGTTACCTCTCCATCAGCCTATGAAGATGTAAATCAAAATGAAAAACTAAGGAAGAGAAAGGCAGAATTGACTCCTTTTATTATAGGATAGAGTAGAAAAGTTATGAGAATAATGGCTGAAGTAATTTTAAAACATTTTAAAAGTGTGACTTAAGTGAAAGCCATTAGACCTATTGACCTCTGCCTCAGGTACAGAGGGTAAAAACAGAGCATGTTCAGTGTACCTTGAGAGGGCACATGACACTGGTGAGGATTAGGTTATCTTTTGACTCTCTGGTAAGGTGAGCACCCCACCCCCAAAAGTCTGTATTTTGTAAAATCCTATGTAGAAAAAAATTTCTGTCCCCTGTTACCAGAGTTCTAATCTAGTATGGACACTAATTGTAATAGTGGTGCATTACTATTGGTAAGATGACATGGCCTGAGGTGACATGGTACAAAGAATCCCACCCATAGGTTAATGGTGATAAGCTATGTATTTCTATTGTCTTTCTCTTTTGTTCAATTAGACATTTACTAAATGAGAAAACTACACTTAAAAAGTGCTTTAAAACAAAATGGAATTAGAAAAAAAGACGTGCATTTGAAAGAACTTTGCACTCTGCTGAAAATCAAATCTCTTGCAGTAATACAATATGCCTATTCTTAAAATATAAGTTAACAGAATTTTCAATTTAATATTTTCAAAGATGATATTAAGGTCAAGAATTTCACATCTACAGTAACCCTTATAGAAGGGCATTTATAAATATAATGTCCATCCCTATGAAGCTTACAAGTTTGGCAATGCTCAATAAAAGCTTTAGGAATCACATCCAAGTGTCTCATCTAATGAATCACAAATTTGTGTCCTGTAAGTTCTCCTTCTAAAATCTTTATGTAGACTTTTCTATTTCCATCATTTGTTAATTTAAATAAAATATTTTTTTAAAAAAAAAAGGAAAAGAAATGCTGGAATAAATCCTAGATCATGTACAGAAATTATTGCTACTATAGTTCACTACAAAGCATGTCTATACAATATCATATGAATTTTGATCATGAAAAATCAGAATAAAAATCTTTAGTGACATAAGCCTTACAATCATATATAATATTCAAATGGTAACATTAGACAGTTAAGCACCCAATACCCATAGCTGACAAATGTCTTACTGACCACCATTCATTTAAATACATCCTTCATATAGAGGGAGGAAAAAAGAGATAGTGTCAGGTTTCTAAGCCTTGTCAAAAAAGGATTTTCATGTTCTTTGGATCTAAAAACAAACAACAAAAACAAACCCCCAAAACAAAACTGGTGCAGGTGAGGGTGTTATCAGAAAGTTAAGCATGCTGAAAGGTGTTTTGTGGGAATTAAAAATCTAATTCCTTCTTAATGTCACAAAGAAAACAATAGCAACAGTCAATAAAACTAAAAGCTGGTTCTTTGAGAAGATAAACAAAAGTGATAAACCTTTAGCCAGACTCAAGAAAAAAAGGGAGAAGACTCAAATCAACTAAATTAGGAATGAAAAACGAGAAGTTACAACTGACACCACAGAAATACAAAGGATTGGAAGAGACTACTACAAGCAATTATATGCCAATAAAATGGACAACCTGGAAGAAATGGACAAATTCTTAGAAAAGTACAACCTTCCAAGACTGAACCAGAAGAAATAGAAAATATGAACAGACCAATCACAAGTAAAGAAATTGAAACTGTGACTAAAAATCTTCCAACAAACAAAGGTCCAGAACCAGAAGCCTTCACGGGAGGATTCTATCAAACATTTAGAGAAGAGCTAACACCCATCCTTCTCAAACTCTTCCAAAAAAATTGCAGAGGGTGGAATACTTCCAAACTCATTCTACGAGGCCACCATCACCCTGACACCAATACCAGGCAAAGATATCACAAAAAACCTACAGACCAATATTACTGATGGATATAGACACAAAAATCCAACAACACATTAAAAGCATCATACACCATGACCAAGTGGGATTTATCCAAGGGATGCAAGGATTCTTCAATATACACGAATCACACCATATTAACAAATTGAAGAATAAAAACATATGATCCTTTCAATAGATGCTGAAAAAGCTTTTGACAAAATTCAAGACTAATTTATGATAAAAACTCTCCAGAAAGTGAGCACACAGGGAAACTACCTCAACATAATAAAGGCCATATATGACAAACCCACAGCAAACATTATTCTCAATGGTGAAAAACTGAAAACATTTCCTCTAAGATAAGGGACAAGACAAGTGTGTCCACTCTTGCCACTATTATTCAACATAGTTTTGGAAGTCCTAGCCATGAGAATCATAGAAGAAAAAGAAATAAAAGGAATACAAATTGGAAAAGAAGTAAAATGCTCACGGTTTGCAGATGGTATTCTACTATACATAGAAAATCCTAAAGATGCCACCAGAAATCTTCTAGAACTAATCAATGAATTTTGTAAAGTTTCAGGGCACAAAATTAATACACAGAACTATCTTGCATACCTATACACTAACAATGAAAGATCAGAAAAAGAAATTAAGGAAACAATCCCATTTACCACTGCAACCAAAAGAATAAAATACCTAGGAATAAACCTACCTAAGGAGGCAAAAACCTGTACTCAGAAAACTACAAGATACTGATGTAAAAAATTAAAGATGACACAAACAGATGGAGAGATATACAATTTTCTTGGATTGAAGGAATCAATATTGTGAAAATGACTATAATACCCATAGCAGTCTACAAATTCAATGCAATCCCTATTAAATTACCAATGGCATTTTCCACAGAATTAGAACAAACTATTTTACAATTTGTATGGAAACAAAAAAGACTCTGAATAATCAAAGCAATCTTGAGAGAGAAAAATGGAGCTAGAGGAATCAGGCTCCTGGACTTCAGACTATACTACAAAGCTACAGTAATCAATACAATATGGTACTGACACACAAACAGAAATATAGAGCAATGGAACAGGATAGCAAGCCCAGAGATAAACTCATGCACCTATGGTCTATAACAAAGAAGAAAGAATATACAATGGAGAAAAGACAGCCTCTTCAATAAGTGGTACTGGGAAAACTGGACAGCTACATGTAGAAGAATGAAATTAGAACACTCCCTAACACCATACACAGAAATAAACTAAAAATGGATTAAAGACCTACATATAAAGTCAGAAAGTATAAAACTCTTAGAGGAAAACATAGGCAGAACACTCTATGACATAAATCACAGCAAGATCCATTTTGACCCACCTCCTAGAGTAATGGAAATATGGGGAGGGGGAAGGGTAAGCTGTGACAAAGTGAGAGAGTGGCATGGACATATATACACTACCAAACGTAAACTAGATAGCTAGTGGGAAGCAGCCACATAACACAGGGAGATCAGCTCGGTGCTTTGTGACCACCTAGAGGGGTGGGATAGGGAGGGTGAGAGGGAGGGAAGAGGGAAGAGATATGGGAACATATGTAAATGTATAACTGATTCACTCTGTTATACAGCAGAAACTAACACACCATTGTAAAGCAATTATACTCCAATAAAGATGTTAAAAAAAACTCAAATGGGACCTAATTAAACTTAAAACCTTTTGCACAGCAAAGAAAACCATAAATGAGTTAAAAAGACAACCCTCAGAATGGGAGAAAATATTTGCAAATGAAGCAACTGACATGGGATTAATCTCCAAAATATACAAAGGGCTCATGTACCTCAATATCCAAAAAAAAAACCCAGTCAAAAAATGGGCAGAAGACCTAAGTAGACATTTCTCCAAATAAGACATACAGATGGCCAAGAGGCACATGAAAAGATGCTCAATAATTTTTAGAGAAATGCTGATCAAAACTACAATGACGTATCACCTCACAGCGGTCAGAATGGCCATCATCAAAAGAATCTATAAACAATAAATGCTGGAGAGGGTGTGGAGAAAAGGAACACTCTTGCACTGTTGGTGTGAATGTAAATTGATACAGCCACTATGGAGAACAGTATGCAGGTTCCTTAAAAAACTAAAATTAAACTACCATATGACCCCACAGTCCTACTACTGGGCATATGCCCTGAGAAAACCATACTTCAAAAGACACAGGCACCCCAATGTTTATTGCAGCGTTATTTACCATAGCCAGGAGATGGAATTAACCTAAATGTCCATCGACAGATGAAGGGATAAAGATGTGGTACACAGGGCTTCCCTGGTGGCACAGTGGTTGGGAGTCCGCCTGCCAATGCAGGGGACATGGGTTTGTGCCCCAGTCCAGGAAGATCCCACATGCCTTGGAGTGGCTGGGCCCTTGAGAGATGGTCGCTGAGCCTGTGCATTCAGAGCCTGTGCTCCACAATGGGGGAGGCCACAGCAGTGAGAGGCCTGTGTACTCCAAAAAAAAAAAAAAAATGTGGTACATATATACAATGGAATATTACTCAGCCATAGAAAGGAACAAAATTGGGTCATTTGTAGAGATGTGGATAGACGTAGAGTCTGTCATACAGAGTGAAGTAAATCAGAAAGAGTAACTAAATATTACTTGAGTATTCTGTGATTAAACAAAAGAAATTGCTATGACTAATTGTGATTCACAGTGAAATACTAGCAAATAGCTAACTGAAAACACAACTAGCCTTATTTCTTGATATATAGCATTTCTGTGCAGATATATCCTTTCCTTTCAACTTCATGATTAATATTAGAGAAGACTCAAGGGATATATAAAGAACACACTTAGAGCATCTACTGAGAACTTCCAGAAAGGCACTTAAAACATTTCTAAGCAAATGGAAGCAAGTTGATGTTCAATTTTAATTCAGAAGTCTCAGAAATTCCTTTCTCCTGGACTGAACTCTAGAAATAATAGAAGAGATAGTAAAATGTATACTGTGACTTCCTTTGAAAACAAAAAGATAGTTTCGTGTTACATGAGTTGTGAAAAGTACCTAAAAATCACAAAACAGAAGGGAAAGAACTGAAGAGTAAAGTGGGCATCTGAGTTGCATAGGGGAGGGTGTAGCAAGTGCAACCACAGGAAATGACAGCAACACTGATGGGTTCTGAGCCTGGAGGTTGTGGAAGCCAGCACAAGGGGGCTCAGAAGGAACCAGTCAGATGATTAGTTGCCCTAGGATCAGTTAGGAGGGGTGAATCATGTTCTGTGTCCCTGATTGCTACTACAAGAATTACCAAACATAGCAAAGACCAATATGTAATGGTAACACATGGTCTTCCTTTATGTGTAAAGTATAATTGGGGATATTGGGGTAGAAAAATAACGCAGTGTTCTTAATATATGGTGTCACTGGAAAGGAAGAAGAACCACCGATATACAGAAGATCAGCCATTAAAGTATCTCTTGTCATCAGTCATCTTCCCTCGTATTCACTGGAAAGATTGGAGTCCAAGCTCCACTACAGCCAGACATCTCACCTGTAAACTATATTCAAGAAAGAAATCAAAGGTGGATACAGAACTATATATAAGGAATTGTTTCTTTTTAATATAGAACAAAGAGTAGAAATGTTATGAGAATTTGGCTAAAGTAGTTTAAAAACATTTTAAAAATGTGATGTAATGGAAGCCATCAGACCTATAGATTTCTACCTCAGGTACAGAGGGTAAAGAACAGAGCATGCTCAGGGTACCTTGAGAGGGCACATGGCATTGGTGAGGATTCAGGACTGAGGCTAATGTGGGGAGAATGCTGTCTTTAAGCCACCCAGAAACCTTTAGATGTCTTTGACCACTTTTCTTTGCCTCTGACTAGCATGGCTTCTGTGTCCTTGTGCTCAAGGAGCTGCATTGTGGACTCTTTGTAAGACTTCTTGGGGGT